CCCAGCAAGATTCTTCTTCAAAGTAAGTCCTTCTCCTAGAATTTTATTTCTTCCAACTCAAATTCCTTCATACAATTATGAATCATTAATAAAAATCTTAATTCTTGACCATAGAGTTTTCAAGAAACTAATTTAAGAATTTCAAGAAAGATTTACTTGATTGTTCTCCTTCAAGCTAGGGTTTCAAGGCTTCTAATCAAGTTCTTCTTCAAGAACCTTGTCTTCCAGGTATGTAAGGCTATCACAGTGATGGACTGACTTCGTCCTCACTCCCTACATCTATCTAAATTCAATAAAAGAGTAATCTAGAGTTTTATCCTGGATTGAGTGTTCTTGAGATGAGTAGTATCGTTGAATTCTGAGTTCTTGATTTCTGAGTATTATGTATTTTATATTGTTATTAAGATCCTTAAGTTGATTTGTTAATGTCTATGTTTCACCATGAAACCTATTTTGAGTTATAATTTTTGAGAATCTTTTAAGGCAAACATTTTTGTCTTAAACTACTTTTCAGAGAAAGCATGGATGTGTTTTGAGAAAGAGTTTTAAACATGATTTGAGAAAGAGTACAAAATAACTAAGTATTCCCAAATATATCACTTTTTACATTGAGAAAAGCAAAATTCTAATTTCTAAATGAGTTAGTGAGTTCAGAGATATTTCAGAGCAGTTACCTCTTTTAAGATCATATTTTGAGCAATTACCTCAATTGAGAAAGAGTATGTTTTATACATTTGAGCATGAGTATATATTTATTGGAAGTAGTATTGAGCACTGATATGATGATTAGTTCAGATAACTCACATTCCTCATAAACCATGTAGCCAACATGGGTAAAAGATAGATATAGTATAGTTTTGACAATGTGGGCAAGACGTTATATCATCACGTTGCTCATAGTGATGGCTGTCAGTTAGATAATCTCCCAAATAGAGTTAAAAATGTATTTTTATCATATCACTTAATATGTTGAGTTCAGAAATGAGTAAGTAATTGTAAAATTTAAATGATATCGCTCTTTTATTTCTTTACATTCAGTTGAGTATATATTTATATCTATTGTAGTCCTTTCATTAAGTCATTTTGCTTCGGCTATATTGCATACGCGTACATTCAATAAACTGATGTCATTCTACCTGCATATTTTTATAATACAGATTCAAGTACTTAGGATCCTCAACAGGAGTTCCGTTGAGATCACTTCATCCGCTCATCAACTTTTGAGTGAGGCTTTCTTGCTTTCGGAGGACTCCAATTTTTATGAGTTGTTAGTAGTAGTATTTTGAGATGTCGTGGGTCTTGTCCCAATACTCATCTTTATACAGTAGAGGCTTCATAGATAGACAGTTTTGAAGTGTCTTTCTGTTTCAGATGTTTTATTTAAAACTTATATTTTATACTCAATATATTCAGAGAATTTTGAGATTCAGTAAACTGTTGTTAAACATTTGTTTCAGTTTGATGTTTGTGTATGCTTGGGTTAGTCTTCTGCTTCTAGTCAGCCATGATGAGGGTTCTCTTGGGGACCAATAATGGTTCTCGAGTGCCGGTCACGTCTAAGGTGTAGGCTCGAATTGTGACAATTTGTCACAAATTTCTTCTCAGTTCTGATCTTCCACTTCATATACTTGATTGTCAATTGGTTTGACAATCATATTTTTCTCTTATGTTCTAATCTTCAGTAGGTTCCTGAATGACATCTTCTATGACTTTGTTTGGTCTTTGGTCCGTCCCTTAATTTGTAATTATGATTTCGATCATAAAGCATTCAAAATCAATAACTTAACTGTATTTTTCATTGTTTGACCATTTTAACATGAAAAATCTACAATTCTATAAAATAACTTAATATACACATAAGAATAATAAAAACATTAAGTAAAGGGCCTAAAAAGTATTATAAATTCAAGTCACATTAATATCCTCACGACTTTTTGAATGTTGAATTGTGTCAATTAATACAAGAAATTAAAGGATTACAAAATATGTACAAAATTTTTTGTAATCAAATAATATAATCCAAAATGATGATAGAAACATATGTAAACCAACTGCATATATTAACAAATGATGCAATTTACTTAATTTATAAGGATATTTCATATTCTTGACAAGTTGAAAATATCACTTAAAATGAACTGTCAAGCCTGCTTTACTGGCAATTTATTGTTGAACTATTCACCAAAGAGTTTTAGAAAATAAGAAAATAGAAAAAAATTGCACTATCGCCTAAGAGTGGACATAAATATCAAATTATTGAAAAATTGAATCGAATTAATATAATTTTGTTCTTTAGTTTATCGATCTGATTTTAATGTTTTTTTTTCGATTCTTCGATTCAGTGAATACATTATAAAGAATTAATTAATCAATTGGACATTTGGGAGACAAAAAATTCATTAATTTGAATTTTTTTTCTACTTCTTCTTTCAAGAGCAGAATAACTCCAAAGAGTTTGAGTTTGAGTTTGATTTTTTTCTTCGATTTTCTGGTTCAATTTTGGTGCACCGAAAAACTGAACTTTCATAAAAAAAATTTTTAAAAAACTTTTTAAAATATATCACTGATAAGTCTTCTTTTTATTTCTTCTCGTGTTGTTGTTGTTGTTCCTATTATTTTTTATTATTATTATTTTTGGCAACCAATGTGGATATTACCATTAACAAAGAGAAACTACTTGCAATCTAAGAGCATCCAGACCTCAGTACCTCTAAAGGTATATTGAGGAATGACCTCAGCAACTCTAAACTAGTTACATAATTCCTGCCAAAACATTCTACATCTATGTGCTCGTTTTGTATTCTTGTACATTCCTATCCTCTCTACAATTTCTCGTGTTATTCCCTCCACTATGTTAACATGATGTATGTGTACTCCTTTAAATTGCTTCCAGTTCCTCGCTTTTCAAATGTAATATACCATTGCTCCCCATATAGCAACCACCACTTCCTTTTTAAACTTCTTCCAGTGCTTCAACTTAATCAACTTCAGTGTAGATTTTAACTCTCTTGCAGGCATAGAGACGTTGGCCCATTGTAACAGCGCAACTCTTACCTTAGTAGCATATTCACACTCTACAAACAGGTGCATGTGTGTCTCCAACATACCTTGTTGACATAAGCAGCATCTATTGTCTTATACATTTATTCCCATATTTAGTAGCCTTTCCTTTGTGAGCAATCTGTTTTGCATTGCTAACCACATAATGATCCTCTGCCTAGGTAGTGATACAGAGTTCCAAACTAACTTAGCTACCTCAAGTTTATCTTGACTGCCAATCAGATCATGATATCCACTTGTAATTGAATACTTCCCATTAGCTGTAAGGTTGAACTGCCCTTGTGTATACTAGTGTTGCATCTTATCTTTGAGGGAATTTATTTTCCTCCAATACCAACTACTATCAACTGGTGCTCTATGTGACCAAACTGTATCTGCTTTTATGTATATTCCATGCACCCATTTCATCCATAATGATTCCTTTCTCATAGCCAATTGCCATAGAAGCTTTCCTACAGAAGCTACATTCCATTTACCACATCCTTTGATATTCAGTCCACCCTGCCTCTTTGGAAAACATACTTTCTTCCAAGAAACCAATGATACTTTCCTTTTAACCTCATTGCTTCCCCACAAGTATTCTCTACATTTCTTATCTACCTCTTTCACTACACTTTGCGGAAGGATGAACACTGAGCCGCAAAAACTATGGATTGAAAATAAGACTGCCAGTATCACTTGAAGTCTGCCTGCATAGGAGAGTTTTTTTTGCATAAGTATGCTTGATCCTGCTAGTTATTTTCTCAACTAGCTGATGGCATTCCAACTTACCCCACCTCTTTGATGTGAGTGGGAGTCCCAAATATCTAATGGGAAAATTTCCTTGTGTGAATCCAGTAATAGCCAGTAGTTGTTCCTTCACCTGTTCAGTCAGACCTGCTAAGAATAAGCTGGATTTGTCCATGTGGGACCTCCTATTATTATTGTTAATATTATTATTATTATTATTGTTGTTGTTGTTGTTGTTGTTGTTGTTGTTAATATTATTGTTGTTCCGATAGACGTTGAGTGTTGAATTGTTGATCACTGCTAGGGAAATTGAAAATTATAACTTGTAAATGTAATGGCACGTGGGAGTATGGTCAATTGTTGTTGATAGTGATTATATTTAAATGTTTTAATTTTTAGTATCTTATACTTTAATTTGGTCCTCATTTTTTTTTCTCATTCACAATGAAAAGAACATTTTAAAAACATAAAAATAAATCGATTTGAAGTTAAAAAAGTCGAATCAAATTGAACTAATTCAGTTCGATGTTTGGTGCATATTTTTTTAAAATAAAAAATTAAAGAATCAAATCGAATCGAAGAATCAAACGCTCAACCTACCATCGTCTGCCCTGTCCCATTTAGATTTTGTTAAAAATGTGTTTTAATCTGTCTTATTCAGCCCACTAAACCCTAATTTGCCACATTTCTATTCTTAATAATTTCACTCCTCGCCTCATCTTGAAAGTATATCCGTTCAGGACAAGTTTGAGAAATGTTAATATCCGAGAGGGTCACATTGGAGACAATTTTGAACATTCAAGGAACCATATTATTGACATTAATTTTCAGAGGAACCAAAAGTTAAATATTATTTTATTTAATAATAAATAAAACAAAAGGTGAAAACAATCACCCGATTCTGAACAGGCTATCAAGAAAAGGACAAAATAATAGAATAATATAATAATGCTCATTCCATTCTTATTTAGTTGTCATTATTTTAGATTTTACTTTCCTTAAGAAACTGGATAAATTTATCAATCTATCCTTATTCATTGTTCTCTTTTATTTAAGTCAAAATTTCAACATGCGTTAATTTTGTGAAATGACTAATATTAAGTAACATTCTATTTTAATAAAAACGACACGTAAATAGGAACGGAGAGATATTATTTTATTAATAGAAATACTAGGAGAATGAGTCTATTATTATATATATTTAAAAGACTCTCAATAAAGTAATATTAGAGAGGTACTACTAGAGTACTATAATATATCTCCGAAGACAATTCTCAAGTATGCCGTTTCTATCACTCTTCAATTTCCCGCAAAAAACTGATCCATTGACATGAAGCTGAAGATCTCAGACTAAGTTTACCCGACAACGACAAGATTTCTGCTTTCATCTTTGTCTGAGATCTTTACAGGTTCTCAATTCTTCCGATTTTCCATCTTAATGTCGATGTTTTACATTATATATACAGATGCTAATTCAGCTCTTCATTACTGAATCCTTCAATTAGATCTTTCTTGTTGATTTAGTTCTTTGATGTTTTTAGCACTTTTTTGATTGCTTAATCCCTTTTTGTGCACCTATTTGCTAGTTCTAGGGTTTTGCGTTGGACAATTGATAATTGTGTTGTTGACTTTTCTCTAAATACAAGAATTTGTACACCTGTTTGGTACTTTTTGTTTGTAGTGGGAAGAAATTCTTATGTATATGCTATGGAGGAGTTGTTGTTAAATGAGGATCACTTTCGAGTTGAGCATTCCATTGGTAAAGTTTGGTATCTTCTCAGTGGAATCCATAAATTGCCACAGTGGTTAGGTGGACAATTCAACCGTCAAAACATTTTAAATTGGTCCCAAGGGGAAAAAAACTAAGCTTTACTCCCGTACTAAATGGGTTCAGCATATGAATACTCAATATCCATTCTGCAGATTATGTGAACCTGTTTCATTCCAGTGCTTAATAATTAATCTTTTGGGTGACATAGGCGGGGGAGAGTTGCCAGGATTCTTGTGAGGATGAACTATAGGCTTTTGACAACTCTGATACTGAGTCTGCTGTCAGCCTGTCGCTCATTTGTTGATACATGACAATGTTTCTTCTTCTTTCTGTTGTTTTATTGAGGAAATAATCTTTGGATTGTTTTGCTTTTGATGCAGATTTCTGCTTTAAGTTCCACTACCAATCAGAATTAGGTGAACTTCTTTGTAATATACTAAGTTGCAGCCATCATTTTTGAGGGCAAATGATCATGCTTACTTGTTCTAATGAAAGTCTTGGATTCTGTTAGCTCTGAGAAAGATAAATATATTTGCCATGGGCGTAAGCTACTTGTCAGTTTCAGCATTCTGCACTGTTCTGAGCTATGTCGGACTCCAGTGTTGGATGGGAATTTCAGTTGAGAAACTAAAATCAGATGGGCTCATTGGGGAGAGCATTATCAACTTTGGGAATGAAAGCCGTGCACTAGAGAACCTTTTAGGTTCACATACAACAATTGCTCTGGGAGCCAATTTTGCAGTCAACGTATTTATACTGCTAGTTTTGTTTCTTAAGGTACTTATTCTTTGCACGTTGAGATGAATAGTTATGACTGATATTGTTACCATAGGCTGGGAAATTTCAAGCGATTATTAAGTTATTTCTTGTAAAGCTATGGGTAAATCAGCAAATAATGCTTGTTCTAATATAATGATTAATGCAGTTGGTCGGGTATTCAGTATCTTCGATATACCTGTGGATAATTCTTTATTGTTGTTTTTCCATCCACAAGGGCGATTCTTTTCTCATGATGGACATGGTTATGGTATGAGATTGACCATATTAGATTTATTCTAGCTTATAATTTAGTTTTAGATAACACCTTTTTAAAAAAGAGGGAATCATACTTGAATACATTTAAGCATATAAGTAATCCTAGCCAAATAAATTTCAATCATCCTGACATAACCTTGCAATCCTTACTCCTTAAATGTGACCCTGCCACTTATCCCCTCCTTTTTTTCTAATAAAAAAAAAGGTAAAGTGATAGGGTCACATGTAACGACTGCAAGGTGGTGCCAGACTAAACCCTAACCATCTTATACAAACTAGTAGCTCTGGAGGTGAAGTGAAAGAGTGGAGCATGGTAGTTGCATAGTTGATACTAAAAGACTCAAACCAAATAGTATTTAAGCCTTGGGGACAAGCTTTTGAAGGAGGGAGAACGAGACCTAGATGTTTCACAAATACTTTGTGGTAGGAAATGATAAGTTGCATTGAGAAAGTAGCAATGAAGTTTTAGGTGTGTCAAAAATTTCTAAGGGGTTGTTTGGTTCACTGATAAGTTGATGCAAAGATGTATATACAATGATTGAGATTTGTAATTCACGGATTATTTAGTGCATATGCATTTTTGTAGATGTTAGGATCGTTGTATTAAAAATAAGCACTACAATGTATGATTTAAAGCGCATGTTTGATTTTAAATTGCTGAAACTCTTGTTTCCAATTATAACCTTGGAGCTTTCCATTAGGTGTAAAGAAGTGCTTTGGAAGGAGGGTATTTTTGTCATTTGGTTTGTTTTCATCTAAGTACTGCTAATCATTGTATGGTTATACCACATTGACTGTGATATAAAATAATACAATAATTATTATCTAAAATATAACACATTTTAAATATGCTGAATTTGAAATGGTAATCAAATGAAGTATAAAACAGTACAATTTTATACATGGATTATTCTTTGTAATACTTGTGGGTAAACATATCATGAGACCTCAACCACAACAATCACGACGGTGGCGGTGGAGTAAGGAGGTGCCAAGTTTTGTTAAAACAAAAAGAGAGTAGTGTAAGAAGTTATCAAAAACAGAAGATGGAGAAGTTTTTGAAAGGTATAAGAGAACAAAGAGAGAATTGAAGAAGGCGAATAGTGAAGCTTGAGGTAAAGCCTTAAATAGATGACTTTAGAAAGTAAGTGATGTGACAAGATTCCTACTAAGCACCCAGGGTTCTAGCATAGTGGTCAATGAAATGAAAAGAAACCATGAGGTCTCATGTTCAAATCTCAGTGGGGACAAAAGTACTAGGTGATTTCGTCCAATCTGTGTAAGCCTTTGTAGAAAGAGTTACCTTGTACCTGTTGGTGGTAGGATAAGGATACATCAATTATTCTGTGGAATCAATCGAGGCAAGCACAAGAAGGCTTACCACTGTTGTTAAAAACTAGATGATTCCTAGTCTAGGAGTGTTTACAAGATCGCGGCCAAAGTACTATCACAAAGGCTCAAGGGTGTAATGGGCAAACTTGTTTTCAATCATCAAAATGCTTTCATTAAGGACAGACAAATCACAAATGTTGCTCTAATTGCCAATGAAGTTCTGGATTGGAGAATGAAAAATAAGGAACCCCGCATTCTATGCAAACTAGACATAGAAAAAGCTTTTGATCGACTCAATTGGTCACATCTCTTTTCCATTATCAGGCAAATGAGTTTTGGTGAAAGGTGGTTTAAATCGACTCAATTGGTCACATCTCTTACCACATAAGGGACTCAGACAAGGGGATCCTATCTCTCCTTTTCTTTTTATCCTGGCAATGGAGGGCCTTAGTAATATGTCCGATAAGGCGAATCAACTGCGATGGCTGGATGGTTTTAATGTTGGCATAAGGAACACTGTTAATGTTTCACACTTACTATATGTTGCTGACACCCTTGTATTTTGTGGAGCACATAGATCTCAAGTTCTTTACCTAAATCTAACCCTACTCATCTTTGAATCACTTTTAGGCCTTCATACAAATATGTTAAAAAGTGTTATATACCCTGTTAATGAGGTTTTAGAGCACCCAAGGATGTAGCCTAGTGGTCAATGAAGTGGTTGAGAACCCTGAGATCTCAGGTTCAAAACTCAGCGGAGTGCAAAATATGAAGGCAAAGATATGGGGATGACCAAAGAAGTGACTACACCTTATGCAGTGAGTTTGTGGAGATCAATAAGAGACATGTGGGATGAAGTTAAGAGTAACGCAAGGATCAAAGTTGTAGATGGAAACAAGACAAGATTTTGGAAAGATGAGTGGCATGAAAAGGGAAACCTGGTCTTTTCCCAGACATATACAACAGTTTTGGGACAACACAATACTATAGCAGAATGGACAAATCAGGGGTGGAGCTTCAGTTTCAGAAGACAATTCAATGACTGGGAAATAGAAGAGTGGCAGAATTTCTCAACAATGTGGAAGCTTTTAATGGGCTACAAACAGGGGAAGATGCTATGTGGTGGAAGGGAAATAGCAGAGGGGAATTCAAAGTTAACTCAGCCTACAAGTTGATGGATCAGACAAACCGCCAAACATACAGTTGGCCATGGAAGCAAATATGGAGAAGCAAAATACCTCATAAAATCTCATGCTTCATATGGTTATTGGCCAAATAAGCTGCTTTGACTCAAGATAACTTGAAGAAAAAGAGGGATAACCTTATGCTCTAGTTGCTTTCTATGTGGGGAGGCATTAGAGACAGTGAACCATTTGTTCCTACACTGCAAGTATACCCAACAACTATGGAGGATTTTTTTGAATCTCAAAGGCATCTCCTGGACCATGCCTTGGAAGGTCTCAGAGGCTTTGAAGAGTTGGGAGGCAGCAGGGGTGAATGCAAAGGACAGAAACAGATGGAGAATTATCCCTGCTAGTATATGGTGGACTATTTGGAAAGAAAGGAATTCTAGGTGTTTTGAGAGCATAGAGAATGATGTCTAGAAAGTCAAGTTAAACTGCATTTTATTGTTATGTTTTTGGTGTAATCAAGTATACTCCAATGACACTGTATCAGTAATTGATGTTTTAGACTCAATATAGACAGAAACAAGTGGAAAGGAGGCATTTGTATATAATGGTTTCAGTATAACCCATGTACTGTTTTGTGATATAATACAAAGTTACCTATTTCAAAAAAAAAAAAACACTAGGTGATTCTTTCCATTTTTCCTAGCCTTGGTGGATTGAGTTACTTGATACTTGTTGCTGGTGGAGGTGGCATGTATTCCGTGGAATTGATCGGGGTGCGCGAAAGCTGGTCCGGACACCACGATCATCAAAAAAGAAGAGAGATTTTAGACCTAGAAGAACTTGCAAGACTTGTGGGTTTTACCACTGGCTCCCTTCCAACCACCTATCTTGGATTACTCCTAGGTGCCACATTTGGATCTACATCTATAAGGGATGGGGTGATTGAGAAGTTTGAGAGAAGGTTGGCATCATGGCAGATGCAATATACATCAATGGATGGGCGATTGACACTGATTAACAATGTGTTAGACAAAATTCTAACTTACTACATGACACTATTTCCCATACCTAGCGAAGTACTGAAGCAACTTGATAGGATCAGGAGGAATTTCCTATGAGAGGGTAACAACAAGGATCATAAGTTTCACTTGGTAAAGTGGATTAAAGTGGTGCTGCCAAAACAATTGGGAGGATTGGGCATAAAAGATTTAGCTCTTCACAATGATTACTCATGATATGGTTATGGAGGTGCACTCAAGTGGATCAAACTCTATGGAAGGAAGTAATCAAGGCAAAACATGGAGTCCAAAATCATTGGTGCTCCAAGCTGTCCAGACTCCAGATCCCCTCATGGTGTAGGCCTATGGAAGAGTATATGCAAGATTAAAGACGAGTTCTTTCAAATCACCAAGTTGGCAGCAGGTAATGGTATACATATTAGGTTTTGGAAGGATAGGTGGCTGGACAATATTATTCTGATGGAGGAATTCCCAAGTCTATATCAAATAGCGCGTGACCCTAATTCTTCCTTGCACAGAATAGGACATACAACACCTTGAATGTACTTTTCAAAAGAAACCTACAAGATTGGGAAATCGAAGAAGTGGTCAACTTGTTTTTTAGGCTAGAAGGCCAGGTGATAAATGTCAGGAAGCAGACAAGTTATGGTGGGGCAGTGACAAGGATGGTAAATATTCAGTCAACGCAGATTATGCAAATTCATATGCTCCTAATGAATTGCTTGATAACTGGCCATGGAAGTTGATATGGAATGACTAAGCTCCCAACAGAGATCATATGCTTCAGTTGGATATCTCTCATGAAGTTTGCCTCACTCAAGACAACCTTAAGAAAAGGAATTTTCAAATTGCCAATAGATATTACATGAGCCAACAGAACCTTGAGTACAACAACCGTCTATTTTTACATTGTACAGTCACTGCTTACTTAGAGTATGTTTTTGTATATATTTGGTATTAATTGGGTAATGCCACATAGTACCAAAGAGACCTTTGAATGCTGGTGCAATTGGAGAGTTGGTAAGGCCAACTCCAAATCACTCCCTTATGGCTAAAGTATCTTTTGTATCTATATAGTTGGCAGTCTTTCACCCATAGATTCACCTGAGAACTTTTTGAACTTCGTTAGCTCCCTGGTACTAGTTTAGTCTTTTTTGTGATTGAGCTAACAAAATTTTGTTATTTTCCTAACTTTTGTACTATTCTGCATCTTCTTGATGCCAACAATGAAATTTCTTATTACTTCATAAAAAAAAAA